ACAAGAAAATCTATTTAAACTTTTGGCTTATGTCAAATTACACCAAATCAAAAGATGGATATGGATCTGCCATAGCCTCATAGAAAATATAGTTAATATTTCCTTAGAGCAGTCTAAGAGATTAGGACATAATCTGTCCATTGAAGTTGTGTCTAATTCCCCTGAGTGCCCTGAAAAACCTAGCAATGTTCTCTGCTCCGAAGTATTCAGAAGTTGTTCAGCTCTTTCATTTATTTTTTCATTTCCCTAGCTGGTATAAATGGATGCAATAGAGTTTCACTGTTTTTCACGACCTGATGTCCTGGTCCCAGAAGCGGTTGAAATGGAGGAGAGTTAAGGGACAATAAGAGCAATAGGTAGGTGCTGGATGGGGACATCTGCTTAAACGCGTGTTCTCTAAGCACCTATCCTGATTTTTTCCTTTCTAATATCTGAACCAAACAAAAAAAGAATAGATTATTTTACAGACTGGTTAGCACTTGTTGTCTGGTACAGAAAAGGTTAACAAACCTCCTGCAGGAATGAAGAAATACCCCAAATATTTTTGGGCAGCTGCAATATTAGAAACAGTTTGCTGTAGTTCACTGCATGTGAACTCTTACAGCTAATCTCTTTGAATGCTATTATTTCCTTTGAGATGCTCGCATGTGTTTACCTTTAAAGACACATAAACCTCACCGAAAATACTCACAATGAGTGAGCAAATATTGTACCACCATTAGAAAATAAATGTAAATAAAATAAGATCCTTTGTGCTACATGCTAAATGCACGTTTCTACTCTTAACTTCATTCACCGAGTACGTAGCTGAGTCCCTCTAGTGGCATAAACATTTATTTGGCTTCAGCATGTTATTAAAATTCTGTTTTACAGCAACATTTTAGCCGTAAATTCACAGGTAGCATTTTTGGACGCTCTGAGGGCTGTGGCAAAGTGAATCTTGGATTAGATACTGTGCAGGCTAGTGTTAATGAATGTAAATTGATTTTTAGCTGTGAGGGGAATTATAGATGCTCTGGAAGAAGAAGGGAATTTTTGAAAGGATATTCAAGAACTAATTACTATCAGTAAGAAACACGCAGTGAGCAACGTAATAGCCAGGACAGCCAATAGGGATAAAAGCTTATACACAAATCTGTCATGACCTAGTAGTGAAGACTGTTTAAAAACACTGACCTCCACTTAGCTTGTAAATGCGCATCACTCTCACTCATATATTCTCTCGCTCTCTCTCTCTGACACACACACACACACACACACACACTCTCTCTCTCACACACACGCTCCTGCTTTGATAGAAGACAGACATCTAGGGCACTTCTTGGCATCCACAGGAAAATCATATGGGATTAAAAACCCACAGCAGTAAGTACTCACTGCATTAAATGTTTATTAAGTGGCATGCTGTCAAAACCTAGATTTAATAGTAAATACAGGAGGACTTTAATGGAAATTGGTTGTATTTGATTTTTCTTAGGAATTGGTGAAAGCTGCCTCTCGAGGATTACAACTTCACCTTTTGCTTTTACGGATGCTTGTTTACCTTCCATGTGGTAACCTCTGGACAGTCAGTAATCCGTTCACTATCCACACTGATTGAGTGCAGGAGTAGTGCGGTGGTAACCACTTCGCTCAGCTGACAGCAGACGACAAAAGGAGGGAAATGATGAATTCGGACAATTTAACCTCCCAAAGCTTCCTCTCTGCGATTCATAGCAATGCCAGCAATTTATTCTCAGGGCTCCAGTTTGTTCAGACCTTCAAGCCACTCATCATCCCCTGCTACTCGCTAGTGGTTTTTATTGGTGTCATTGGGAATTACCTTCTCATTTATGTTATCTGCAAGACCAAAAAAATGCACAATGTTACCAACTTTCTGGTAGGCAATCTGGCTTTCTCAGACATGCTCATGTGTGCAACCTGTGTACCCCTGACTCTCGCATACGCCTTTGAGCCCAGAGGATGGGTGTACGGGCGTTTCATGTGCTACTTTGTTTTCCTGATGCAACCTGTCACTGTGTTTGTGTCTGTCTTTACCTTGACTGTCATAGCTGTGGATAGGTATTATGCCATGGTGTACCCATTCCGCAGGAGGCTCACAATTCCTATTTGTGCTTACATCCTGGCTGCTATTTGGCTGCTGAGCTGTACCTTGGCTGCCCCAGCCTTGGTCCACACTTACCACGCAGAGTTCCCAGAACTGGACTTCTCCATCTGTGAGGAATTTTGGTTCCACATGAAAAGAGATCGCTTGGCTTACGCCTACAGCACTCTCATCATCACCTACGTACTGCCTTTGGCTGTCATCTCCCTGTCCTACCTGAGAATCTCAGTCAAGCTGAAAAATCGTGTGGTCCCAGGCAATGTCACCCAGGGCCAAGCTGAGTGGGACCGAGCAAGGAGGAGAAAGACTTTTCGCTTGCTAGTCTTAGTGGTGGCAGCCTTTGGAGTCTGCTGGCTGCCTCTGCACATCTTCAACATGATAAAGGACATAGACATCAGCTTGATTGACAAGCAGTACTTCAACTTCATCCAGCTGCTCTGCCACTGGTTTGCAATGATGTCTGCTTGTACCAATGCCTTCCTCTATGCCTGGCTCCATGACAGCTTCAGGGGGGAGCTGAAGAAAATGTTTGCCTGGAGAAAAAAGAAAATTGGACCCACTACAAATTGCATTATGGCCAGTGTGGTGCTGTAAACGAGAGCTGGTGGGAGTGCACTTCCTTCGTACCATAACACTGTAAGTCTTTTCCACTATTAACTAGCCCTGGTTCCTGACATTTGTCCTCAGGGCAAACACAAGTCCCATGCACAGCTTCCCCAGCACCTCCAGTCCTACTGGAAAAGGAGAGGCAGATGTCCAGTTCCAGAAATGTCTTTACTTCTTAGACAGGAGTTAGAGGCCAAGGAGACGTTATCACAGGATGTCCTGATGTAAACTACAGGGATCCCTCCTATCTGTTTTGGATATTGCTGGCAGTGCAGACAGGGGATTTGGGGACAGGGAGAAGCAAGGATGAATATGAGACCTGAATATCTCAGTGAGGAAGTGATTTGGATTGGGTAAAAATTAAATCTGCTTATCTACCCAGAGTTCTGTCCTTAGCACAGGATCCAGGGTGGAGGACTAACAAAATTTCTGTAGTCCTCTTGGGTTTGGGCCATACTGAAGAATAGCCTAAGGCTCCCTGAAATGCCCTTCCAGAGCAGGTGTCTCAGCTGTGGGCAGGAAACCAGGCTGGTAGGACCTGCTGCGAGCCTCCCTCTGCCAGCTGAGTTGTGCTCATGTCCCCATTCCTGAGGATGCGAGTGGTATCTGGGGTGATGGCATCAGCTCACTGCTCACTCCTTGAGGAACTGATTTTGACGTGTGGCAGTGCTGCCATCAGCTTTGATCTCCAGAGGCTTTGATACTGTCTCCAGGAGCACTTCTGGAGGTGTCTGTTAAGAGACAGCGGGTGAAAGGGGCTGTTGACAGCGAGCCGTGCATGAGCATTGAGTGACCAGTCAAAGAAAGACCTGTCAGACGGAGTGGGGTGGGAAGTGCTGTCTTCTGAAGGAGTCTTTTGGGAAGAAATAATTTTCTTTGACATTCACCTTTCAATCAGATGAGGGAGTTAGAAGCTATAATCAACCTAATGGTTGCTAGTTTCTTCCTCCCTCTGTCTGAACTGAAAAATATCTGAGATAATAGATAAGCGTAAGGGAAAAAGTTCTGAAAGCAGACACTGTTTCTGAAGAGGTTTCTTCCAGCCTGCTCAGCCAGAATCTGGGATGGCACAAGGGACTGACTGATACTGAGATCAGCCAGAGCAGCAGTGCAATCCAGGGGCAGTTTTGGCCACGGTCAGCAAGGACATCTATCCCACCGCGTCTGGACATGGCCAGAAACATATGGGCAATGCAAACAGATGATGGGGGAGAGGGGGGAGAGGGAAGAAAGAGAGGATGGTTTCTCTAGTTTGTAAATTTACGCCTGCTGTGAAACTGTGAATATCATTTGCTCATCAGTATTCGGTAAGGTAATCTGGTTAAAAAAATACACAGATGCATATGCACACACTGGGAAAAGCATTGGAAAAACGTTTGAAATCCCTTCTCACAAATTTCCTGAGAATTTCAAGCTTTTCTGTTGCTAGTAATGAGGAATTTGATATTAGAAGCTGATTACAGAGATGCTGAATCAAGGAAAGTCCTTTTAAAGTGGGTATTACTTGCATTCACTCTGTGATGAAGTGTATCATCTGCCTTGCTTACCCTGATTTAAAGATTTGAATGACTTATTAAAGGATGTTTTGCTTTTGCCAAATTTTAGGAAATCGTTTTTCCTTCAAGCTGATTATAGCAAGTTACTGGAATAACTGGTGATTTTGAAAAGGCAAAAACCCCAAACAAACAAACCAAATTTTATAAGCTTTTCAGCTCCTGTTTCAGGGACCAAAAAGCAGCCTTAAATAACAACAAAATCCTGATTTTTTTAGAGATTTTTTTCTTCTATGGAATTATGTTACTTCAAGCTGCTAATTTGTCAGTTTGTAAAGGCTAATTAGCATTGAGATGGCCCATAATGTTTACAACCTTGTGCACTAACTGCAGACAATGCTGTAATGCAGAGTGATCCAAAGCCCAGCGGAGTAACTGGGAAGACTCTTGTTAACCCAGCAGGTCTGGGATCATTTCCGTCTTACACATCATGGTTTTAACCTCAAACGCTGCAGTTTGGCTTATTAATGTTCTCCTGAATGTTAGTGACTGCAGATGGCTGCTGCAGAGAGCTGCATGAAGCAAACAAGAGGGATTTCTCTATTTTTTTTTCTTTTTTTCCCCTTGAGGTAGAAATGGAGAGCTGGTCGGTGCGTTTATTGTTCCCACAGTGGCAGACATGCTGGGAACATCTCACTACCAGAAGCCCCTGGAGCTGCAGTTACGGCAGTGCCGAGGTCTGTCATCTCAAGGAGGTCCTGCCCGGCATGGCAGGCACCCTTCTTTAAGTACTGGTTTAACCTGCACATGCCTTGAATCTGTCGGGACTTGCATTTGCAGCAGAAAGCTCAGAGCCTGCCCCTTGCTTCAGGCCCTTCTCAGGACCAGGTTTTGCAGATGCACCCTGAAATGATGTGCGTTCCCCAGCCGCGGGCTCCTGAAGCTCCTTCTCTCTCCTCAGCAGCCCCCTTGGCCCACCTCAGTGGTCCTGCAAGGCCTTTCTTCCAGGCTTTCCCTGCACGGTGCACAAAGGAGGTCCGGCCCCGAGCAGGAGGGCTGGGTGTCCCGCAGGCTGGTGGGGACCGAGGCCCAGCTACATTCACTCAGCCCCACCTCTGAATCGAGCCCCAAGAATATCTGCTCAGTGTAATTACTGTTTTCTCTGATATCCAGAGTAATAAACAATAATAAGATTTAGAGGCACGTTGGTGTGCTTCTTTAATCCAGTTATGCAAATAATTATATTAAAAGCCATCATGTGAAATGTGTTTGCTAGTCTCCACCCCTCTTTGGGGAACTGCTGTGTATCTCTGAGGGACCAGGGCTCATCACTACAGTATTTTTGGTGGTATAATTTTTAATTACAATTTAAGAACTCATTGCATGTTTTGATTTTATAAAGTAGCCCGGTTCAAAACTTGGTGAATCTATTAACTTTCCCTGTAAGGGTTTTAGTTGCTGTTTCTTGCTTACATTCGAATCCAAGGACTCGCACACTGTGGGGCAGCTGCTCTGCAGGGATGGAGCAGGGTTTGCATCTGAACTGAGGTATGGCAGAGTGCTATATGCTCCTCGTCTGCTGGGATTCCATTCTGGTTGTTTATATGTACCGAGAGTCTTTTAGCAGGTAGAGACGCAGGGGTTCTGCATTTTACAACAGCAGACACATGCTATTTATGATGGTTCCTCGGACTGTTCCTGAAGCACAGTCTCTGGTAAACACTCCTAGCTGTACTATGTTTCCAGGTAGATATTAAATGCATTAGCCAGCAAGTGGGTTAGAAGAACGTGGTGGGTCTTGGGCTTTGGAAATGGCAGGCCCACTTAGGACCACACTTACTCATTGTAAAAATCATCTGGGAGATTTCACTGGGGCCGAGCCTCTACAGCTCAGAAGGAGCTGCAGATCTTAAATGTGGAGATTAATAGAGATATAGAAAGAGTTGATGGGGTCAGGCAGAGGAGAGTGAGATATCTTCACTTAAAGTGAAGAGCACAGATTTAGACAGTAGGAATCACAGCTTCATGATTTGAAGCTATTCTGCATAGCTGTTGGAAGGACTCGCAGAACATTGTTCTAGCAAAAATATGCTGCATTTCTGATGTTTATAGATGCAGAAATGCTTGATCAAACAGAAGCTGCTCCCTACAGTCAAACGTGGGATTGGTATTAAAAGGCAATGTACTTACGAAAAAGTACTTAACAAAGTAAATCAGTATTTGATCAGGAATTAAAAAAACAGATTAGATAGTGAACAAAGATCACTGAATCTGAAATCAGGCAGCCAAAGAAAAACAACAGTTAATCAAACCTCATTTAGGGTCAGGTAGAGTTGCTCTCTCTCCCACCTTGAAAATGTCAGCTCAGAACAGTCACCACAGACTAACTTGTTTGTGCAATGCCTTGCTTTAAATAAATTTTCCTTATACTCGGATGAAGAAAACTGAGAGCGCTGTATTTGTATCATATCTGGGGAATGGCAGTTTATCTGGGATGGGCAAAAGCAGATCCTGCCATAAGGAGCAGTGAGTGCATCCCAGCTGATAGATAGACTGGGAAAAGCTGGAATTTTTCATACCAGCTGAACAACAGATGCTCTGTACAGTTTTAATTGAGTGAATCTTGCTTGTGGAAGTGTCGATGGTGACTTATAAGTAGATGTCTAAGATTATGCAGGGTACAGATATAAGCTGAAAATGGTACACCTGGAGCTGGGGAAAAAAATACCAAATTGAACAGAACTGTACAATGCATCCACCAATCTGCCCACCAGAGGAGAAGAGGGCAGAGACAGAAACCATATGCTGGTGGTAAAGCCACTGCTGTCTTTGCTGCTTCTGCATGAGAAATACAATACAAATTTTTACCTTTACCCCTCCCCTCTCACTGCCCACTACCTTTTTCTTTTCTCAGAAAAAATAGTTGCAGTCCTCCTGCTTCCCCTGGAGAAAAGGTTGCTCAAGGGTCAAAGCAAATATTTCTGCCTCATAAAAAGCATACAGAAATCAGGAAGGGTTTCCGAAATGGAGATCACCCTCTTCTCAAACTTTCTGCAAGCAGAAATAACCGGTTGTGCCTGACACACAGTCTCTGCACCTGACCATTTGCTGTGTGGATTTGCAGCTGGCAGGAGCAAGCCTGGTCTGCCTGGCACTTGGAGCCCTGGCTTTTGTGTTTGCATCAAGTAAATACCCCTCCCCATCCACAGTGACCTCATTCTGGGTCAAAACCATCGCAAACTCTGGTCCTTTGTACCTGATTTCCTTCAACATCAACGAGTTTGTTTTACTGAACGTCCCAGAGAGCACCTGCAGATGCATCAAAGGTACCCTGCCCATATTAATGGGACCTTTCCTTCAGAAACAGTTATCATACGCCCTGTTTCAAGTACATTCTTACCATGTACTGATCTAACCAGATGGGGCAGGCCTTTCCCAGGCAGATTTCAATCAAATTTTGTATATGTTTCTCTGCTCTATGCTCTCCCAGCCCTCCCAGACTTTTGAAACCATTGA